TTCCACTGATTACTCTCTTTTGACCCAGCTCAGATGCTACAGATTGATTTCCACTAGAATAGTGCATTCTCAATTTTATTGAACTAGTAAAGATTTTCCATAAGATGACAGATGTGTACCAGCTGAAGCCAGGACTTAGATAAACTATTAGTGCCCCTAAAACAGTTATGAGTTAAATTGTCCTATGGGTCCCATTGGAAAAACCCTCAGGTTTCACCACTGGGTTGGTCCATGCAGCCTTTCTTGAGGCATTTACAAAGAGAAAGCCTTTTCACGTTTCTGTTAAATGTTGCAATGACATTAATCAAGTTTTGTTTCTATCTTGAGTTGTAATACATTGAGGTTTAGATATAGATTTAATCAGTGTAGTCATTTATTTGGACTTTATGATGCTGGTAGCTTTATATATTTATTTATAAGTATTCTTTTTTTTTCTCCTTAATGGAGGCACTGGGGATTGAACCCAGGCCCTCCTGCACCTGCATGCCAAGCAGGAGCTCTACCACTCAGCTATGCCCCCAACCCCCAATGCTGGTAGTTTTAGATGGGGGCAAAGGGGTTGGAGGATGGGGGTTAGTTTGCTGCCCAGCTGAACAACACCTGGTAAAACTGATCCTGGCCTCAGAGTTTATCTTTGTGAAAAGCATATCTGTGTGTTGCCCTGGTGGGAAATAAAACATGACTGCATCCTTCTTCAAGTTGAGTCCCTGTGAATGGCCCCTAAAACACCTCATTCTCTACCATATCTGGTGTTATTTTGAATGGAATTAATTGTTACTAAAGCAGGCAAGTATGCATTAAAAATTCATGTTAATAGAAGAAGGTATAATGTTAATTTAATAGTTGATATGGTGAAGGCTATAATTGCTTGTTCAGGGACGTATTTAGAAGTTATTTTGAAGCTCTGTGGGAGGGTTCATGTCATATCCATGGCTTTTGATCTATTCTGTGTTCAGAAGAACTTGGAAATGCCTCTCAGCTTACACTGTGATACACACAGAATAGGATTTTTTTTATCTTCTTAAAAAGCTCTCATTTGTGTTCATGGTTTGTGGTTCTTGATTAATTGAAAGTATTAATTAATTGAAAGGCTAATAGAAAGTATATAGAGAATATACCAATACAAAAAGAGATGGTCATTTCCACATTGTGTTTCCTTCCTAGTTATTGATTTTTAATTTAATAAAATTCTTGATAGAGGTAATGCTGGCACAGAATACTTTTCCTCAGTTTGCTTCTGGGGAAGCAGTTTTATAATGCACATATTGATATTCCAGAATACAAAAGAAGGAGAAAAAAAGGTTATTTGAAAAAATAAGGGAATGGCTCTTATTTGCTTCATCATTAAAAAAAGTAAAGATAATTAATATACCAGTATATGTTGGTATATATTCCACCACGTTAATGTTTTTGATTTGATCCTCCTATTTAAAAACGTAAAGTATTTATATTTTGGAATGCAATGACTTCAAAAGCAAAGAAAAGAAAGTGAGGCATTTACGTAAATGAACACCTAATGTAATATTATTCTGAAGTTATTTCTCTACTGAAATAAATGACCTTGCTCCATTAAAAAATGAGAAGATAATTACTGACCAGAAGATTTAATGTTAATTAGAGACTGATTTTTCTTTCACCAGAAATACAGGGGATGCTGGGAGTCCTGAGAGCTTTATTTTTATGAACCAATAGAGCTTTGTCTGAACGAATGCAGAGTATTTACATTGGCATGGTAAACTGAAGTGCCAAAGTGTCTGGATTCTGGACTGATTGAGTTTGAATCCTGACTCCTCCTCTTACTCATGAGACTGTAGGCAAGTTACTCTTAGTTTCTTTCTACTACGGTTTTCTCATTAAACATGAGAATAGTAACACTACTTACCCCATAAGTTTGCTGTGAGGTTGAAATAAGTTCATACTTGTAAAATGCTTGAAACAGTGCCTGGCTCATAGTACATCTTCTTGTGTTAACTTTATTATTTCTATGTTAAATACTCCATGCTGTTTTGTTTTTACTTTTACTCAAAAGGTGGACATTATGCTTGTCTACCTGGTAAGATGAATTAAAGGAGAAGTTAATGTGAAAACTAGGTTTGTGGTAAGAAAAACAAAAATCAAAACAAGACAAAACGTCAAAACAAAAGCTTTCCCCCCTCATCTCAGTGAAGTTTCCAAAGTGAGATGCAAGGATTTTGATGCACATGGTTTTGATTCTTAAAATTACTGCCTTAGGCTTGTCAGATTACCAATTAAATGAAATAAAAAACTGCTCTAAGCTGCACACATGCACTCACTGTGGAAACCCTTATCTGCCTTCTGAATACATGCTTTTCTTACTCAATGGAGAAGGGCAACTTTTGCCTTATCTCGGCCACCAAACTGCTTTTTCAGGATGTTGTTTTCTAGTACATGGTAAAGGATCAATGGTGTTATGTAAGTTCTTCCCTTTAGTATAGTATTACCGTACATTTTGGTGGCTAATTTTTGGCTTGTAGCTGGCCATTAAATTCCAGACATATGAGGAAAATTGTGTTATTTGGTAATTTATTTAGATTACAGGTTTTAGATGTTATGAAAATTTCAAATCTCTAAAAGTGGGCTAACGTAAGGGTACATTACACGCCAATTTTATAACCTATTCCCCCAGAAACTGTGTATCTTACAGGTAATAATGAAAATGATATGGGTCCGTCTCAGTTTTATTTTTAGTACTATCCAAACATTTGATGTGTCATTAATAAGGAATTGGAAAAGCTATTTTAATTCCAGCACTAAAATATAAAAGTTTCAGAACCCTTTGGTTTGGTTTATTCTAGTTTTGTTGTTAGAGCTACTGAAAAAGTCAAGAGAAACTACTATTTATTGAGCACTTACCTGGTAAGACATTGAAATAATTACTTTTAAGTAAGTATTTCATTTAGCTTTCTAGGCTTAAGTTGTTAGATGCCCTTATGTAAGTGTGTTACTAATATGGAAAAAAGATGCCTTATGTTGTTTTTTACCAGTATTGTCATTGTCAGCATCTTCCTGTGCCATCAACCCCTTCGTCTGTGCTTTTGGGAAATGGAGCTATTAGAACTTTTGCCAGAAAAACTCAAAAAGTCCTGACTACCAAGAAAGGGTTTTAAGAAGGTAGATCTTTTATTTACTCCTGACATGTGAGCCTGGCGAATATTTTTTTGTCCATTTTATTTAACCTTCTGAGTTAATGTTTTTACAATATTAATTTATTCTGTGGATATTTGTTAAGTGCTTACTATTATTTGCCAGTTCTACACTAGGAGCTAGAAATACACCCAGGAGCTGGGCATTTAGCCCGTAACTGCCAGTGAGATAGTGTCACACACATGAGGGTGCAAGATACTTTGAGAGTGTTTATTTCAATATAACTATTATATGTAGAACATTTGGATCATAGTTTCCGAAAGGGAAATGCTGGAGTTAATGCTTTCCAAAGTATAAGTAAAGGGGGACATATTCATTCAGTACTGCAGAGAGTTTTGAACTGTGGACACATATGAGGGTCATCACTTTATCCAAGATTCGTTAACGAAGTGGATTTGACTATCTCAGGATGTGTGTATCAGCTACTTTGTAAAGTATCCTAATACAGCATGACATTTGCTGTCTTTGGTGCAGCTCAAAGGTATGTCTTTTTCTTAACCTTAATGTAGCTAATCTAGAAGGAATAGTTCCAGAAAGATAGATCAAGATGAGAAATAACCGAGTTACCTGATAACTGTGGGTAAGGATACACAAAGTGAATAAAAACATGGCAGACGAGGGCTGAATTGCTCTTCTGACTTGTGATGGCCTCGGCACTAGTAAGTTCCTCTGAGTATCTGCGCAGGGTTGTGGCTTTTCTAGCTGAGTTTCATTTCTGCCCTAACTACCGACACTTCTTGACAACATCAGAAGTTCCGCACCTTCACTTGTCAGTATCATCACCACGTGTAAATATTGTCATCGTCATCATCTTCTCAGAAAAGCTCAGAGACTTTAAAGCTTAACAGAGTAGAATCGTCCCACCATGAGCAGTCACAGTTATTGCATGCTATTTTGGTTGCTAACAGAATTGGTTTCCAAAGTGAGTTTAAGTCACAGTGATCTGTTACTGCAGAAAGCTGCAGCATGCTTTAGAGTGCTTTTTCCTAGAAGGTGAAATTTTTACAGCAGACTGGCATTTCTGCATGGTTGTTTCACAAGCACTAATGTAGAAAGATGTGACATTCCCAACCCCCCCACCCCCCACCAAGGAAAAAGTTAAGGAAGGTGATTTTGGGGTCAAATCATATAAGTTAGGGAATTTACTGTACATATTTTCTCTTTGGAGAGTCACAGTGCGTGCCAGCATATTACACTCTCTAAGAAGTCCTGCTATAAAGACATCTGTTTAATATTTTTAAATGTAACGTATCCAATCTTACTTGGCCACACTTTTTTCCTTAATGTATCACCCAGTAATAATCCCAAGGTTGACTGTTCTGCTTTTGTTCAGATTACTTTCTGCCATGACCCAGTTACTGGTAGCTAACGATTTGCAGACAGATTGTAACAGTTATAGGCAACTAGATGCTGTCTTGTCAGCCCATCCTATAAAAGCTGCAAGAAAAGCTCTTAATGAGCCTTTTATGAAATAATTACATGGTTTAGAATATACTGCTGATTTTAGGTTTTCTTTAAGCAAAGCATGAGTTAGTTCATTAGTTAAGCAACCTTTGCTTCTCTGTAGAAGTACTTGTATTGCTCAGGTTAGAACTTGGAATGATTGGCTACTATGGAATGAGTAGAAACAGGTGAGCTTCTGATGACTGGGCTGCATCTGTGCCATGATGTGGTGTCCTGGGTAACCAGTGTGCCCCTGATGCATCGCTCCATGTTGCCTGTGGCTTGTGCTTGCCTGTGGTGGAACTTGTGAATGGCTTGTGCTACCATTTTGTTGTGAAGGACCATGTTGCACAGTTCCCCTTTCAAGTCATCTATTTATTTGCTTTCTACAGTGATGGAGAGGGGAGAAAAAGGACCTCGTCTACCTGCAGCAATGAGTCCCTAAACGTTGGAGGAACCCCTGTGACTCCTCGCCGAATTTCCTGGCGGCAGCGCATCTTCCTCAGGGTTGCCTCTCCCATGAACAAATCTCCCTCGGCAATGCAGCAGCAAGGTCCGTGTGGTACTCACTAAACAATTGCCCCTTCCTAGTGTCATAAATTAGAGAATGGAGGGCGATGCTTTGTGTACAGAGAGATTTAAGTGATTACAGTAGAGAAATAACTTCCCTTTTTATATTCGATATAGTGGTTCACATCTTAGATATCATTAGAACATACTAGACATTCCGCATATTAGACATTCAGGACATTAGATAAATGCTTGTTGAATGAATGAATGAATGAGTGAGTGAGTTTCTAAAACCTGTTTTGGGGCCTATAGCATAATGCACTGGGAACTAGCTGTAGTGCTAGAAAGGAACATAGATCTTTACTAGAAAAGCAACATCTTTTTACAAATGTTACACATAAAACAAAGTAGCATAGAAATATTGAACAATAAAGGAACAGATACAGATAACACTATGCAAACTTCCACCAAAAGAGAGCTCTGGCTGTTCTCTTCACAGATTAGACCTGTAAGAAATTTAAGCAAAATGCCCAAAGGGGCAAAGTAAGTGTAACAATAAATAAAAAAGATTTAATAATGATGAGAACACTCAGAATTACACAGTTTTGAGAGCTAGAAAATAACACTACACAGAATTTAGGGGAGAAGTAACAAACAAATAAATAGTCCTCATGGGAGATTTTAACATAATTCCTCTCTGAAAATTAAATATCGAGAAATCAAATATAAATAATCGTTGAGAAGCACAATTAAAAGCAAGCTTGATCTGATACTTACACAGGACCTTGCCACCTATCGAGAAAATTCATTCGATTTTAACACACATGGACCAGTCATAAAAATTAATTATGTACTTGGTTATGAAAATTTTTAAATGAATTCCGGATAATCATGGTTATTTATACTATTGTTCTCTGATTACACTGCAAAAAGAAAGGAAAGAAGGAAAGAAAGGCAGGAGGAAGGACAAGAGGAAGGGAGGGAAGGAGGAAGAATTAGAGGACAAATGAAAAATTTCAGTTAGAAGACTGAAAACTATTCCTGGAAACTCAAAGGAAGAAAACATGACCAGAGCCCTACGTATCAAAACTGAGTGGTGTTTAGAGGGCAACTCTAAAACCAAGGAAGCCAAAACTTAAATGTACTAAGTATTCAACTCCGTGGAGTAGAATTTTTTAAATTATTTATTAAGGAAGTAAATGATAAGGATAAGGGCAGAGGCCAGTGAATAAAGGGAAATGAGAAACAAGAAAACATTTCTAGAAATAAAATGAACTCTGCCTGGAGTGGTCAGAGAAAGCTTTACCAAAAACATAAGATATTTATTTAAACTCATTGCTGGGAGAAACATCTTTCAGAAAGGGGGACTAGAAAAGCTCTAGAGTTATTGGAGGAAACTCTGTGGGTCAGAGAGTCAGGAGAAGTTCACCTGATGGCGACCAGAGGATGGGAGATGGAGCCAAGAGGTTGGACAGGTTACTGGAGGCCAAAGTCTGAAGCAATCTGTACGCTATTCCCAGGAGTCTGGCTTTGTTCTTTGGGATATATGCAACCATTAAAGTGTTTTAAGACACAAAACCATATTTGTTAATAGGAAAATAACTGGCCACAGTGTAGAAGATGGCCTGGAATGGAGAGAGAGAGCGAGTGAGCTCCAGACACTGGGTCATAGTGTTGCAGGAGTGAACAGAAGTGAACCAAGCCATGCCCAGAGTCTCGCAGCTGCTTTGCTCTTGACAGATTCTAATGGTTGGCATAGACCTGAGGCGATCACTAACACCTACCGACGTAATCTTTTTGTTTTGCACAATCAGAAGATACACACAGACCAGTTGCAGAAGTGTCGAACTCTGGGGAAAGGCCAGGTCATTTTGGAACACCTATCTTGTAGGTCATTTTGTGCAGAAAGAAGAAGTGGCGAAATGACAGATGCTTTCATTTTACACGGAGAGGGAAATCTGGAAGGGGAATTCAGTCCTGAGTATTTACTTAAATCATCGGTTCCAGAAAGTCACAGTTCCTGGGTGAGCAGCTTTGTGAAAAGCTTTAAAGGTGGAATACAGGATAAGCACGTCAGTCCTCGAGAGCACGTCTGTGGCCTGGGTTACTGCTTCGGAATGCCTCTCACTGTTTTCTTCTCTGCAGATGGGCTGGACAGGAGCGAGCTGCTGCCACTGTCCCCTCTGGCTCCAACCATGGAGGAGGACCCGCTGGTGATATTTATGTCTGGGGAGGAGGACCTAGAAAAAGTTGAAGAAAGAAACAAGTCGGAGGAACTGAGGAGTTTGTGGAGAAAGGCTATACACCAACAAATCCTGTTGCTTCGAATGGAGAAAGAAAACCAGAAACTTGAAGGTTAGCCATTCAAACAGGGCTAAGTGATATGATATGATACATGATATGATATGATATGATATGAGATATGATATGATCCTCTAAAGGTGTAGTTTGTTAAAACTACTCCCTACCCCTCCACACACTCATACTCATTCATTTTTGGACTGTATGTATATTTACTAGAATATCTACTGATTAAAATTGTTTCTTTCTATTTTGTGAGGTGGTTATGACATGGAAAAGGTCAGCTTAAGAAATCTGCATTCCTGTTTAATAATTTAAAACCTCAGATGCCCTTAGAGTATGTTTGGGTGATTGAATAATAGAATAATAGAATAATAGAAGGTAACAGAATATATGTAATGTGAAGTTAATGTGTTTAATATGACTGAAAATTTAATATCATTGTGCATTACTTTAAAAAAACCTTAAATATGAAAAAGCAGATTCTCTTCTTTTTGAATATGATTCTCAAATTTCCAGCTAGTTGTATTCATAGTATGAGAAATATGCCTATTTCAAATAAATTATATCATATCTGATTCAACAATCTAATTACCGGTTATCAAATCAAAGTTTTTATCTTTTGTCACTGTTTTACAAATTTTCTATGTAAATAATCATATTGAAAGTAAATTCATAAGTGGATAATTTATAATAACTATTGTGCTATATTTGTAGTGCTTTATTGCTAAGTTAATGAATACCAAATTCTTTAGAATGTGTTTTCCAGACTTTGAAATAATGATGTTATTTACCCCAGTACTGACAGAATCACACACAGGGAGGTGTACAGACAGTACCCAAATCCAAAAAATGTATTAATGCCACTACCTTGGGCAAATCCTTTAACATAAAAGGGCCTTGTTTTTCACATTTATAAAACAAATGATTTGGCTTGAGTTGGCCCTTTGACTTTTAAGATTATTGGCAACTGTATGATCTGGGTTTTTCTCTCACTTGCTTTTATTATGTTGTCTTCCAGAAGAGCTTTTTTAGTACCGGTATTCACATTTCCATGTTCATCACCTATCTTAAGATTCCTGTTACTATATCTATTGTTCAATTCAGTTTTTAATCTTAACAAGATATATTTAGATTTCAAGGTCACAGTTTACTTTCTTTTTTTCCTATATTCTTAGCA